ATGTTATACTCTCATTTAAAAAATGCCCAAAGCCTTGCTCTGAATCATCCATGCATGTTTGAGAAATCCTGCAGCTTTTTAGGCAGCCATGCTGTGGGGCAAAATGACTGGTGGGGACCAGAAACGCCCCTCTTTAAGCCGAACTTCCTCATGGCAGAGCACCCCCCCAACCTCCACACACACCCCGCCCATGACTCCTGCAGGCTCTCATGTGAAAGTGAAAGTGAAACCTGTCTGCTGAGCTCTCAGCATTACTTCTCACTCAGTGAAACTCTGTTCAGATTAAAAATACCTTTGAGGAAATGTATTTTCAGATGCCAAGTAAACTGCATCATGGCAGCCAGCCCCAGAAGGTGGTTCTTAAAGAGACAGAGGCCAATTTCACGACGTTTAGAAGAGGAAGTGATGAGAAGATAAGTTTATTTTCTATTTAAACATAAAAACAGCACTTTAATAACAGCTAAAGGTGACATAGATACTTTATTAATGTGTAGTATTTAAATATATGCCACATATATAACACATAATATTGCCCCTTTAATACTTTTTAAAGACGCTGCAGGAACCCTGGATAAATATGAATGCATCTAAAGATAGTATTAACAAGCTGCTGAGATGAACAATGTTGAGGTATTTGTTACTGATGTGAGATGTTTCTGGATCTGTAGGAAATGCATGTCCCAGTCACTTTAAATGGGATTTTTCATACATATTTGTTTAGGTGGACCTCTAGATTTCAGCTGAAACCAAACTTCTGATGCATGTCATGTAATCCTACACTGCTGCACAGAGATAAAATCAGCATGTTACAAGCATCGATGCACGGGCAGACCCTCTGACTCTTTGATTTTCTGCTGTTTCACAACTCCAACAGCTTGTTTTCTTTCTATCTGCCCCCCACCCCCAACTCCACTACATCCATCTCTTACTATCAGTGCTGAGACAAACAGCTCAGCCTCTCTGCCAAAATGTCCTTTCATCGTGCCTTCATTTTTTTCTTCCCTCCAAGAAAGATGTGAGGTTAAAGCAACCGCTGTAGTCATTGTTTTAAAMGACACAGATGTGGAGTGGGGGGCTAGAGTATAAAAAATAAACAGCTGTGTGTCCTTTTTTCCTTTTTGTTTCCCCAAAGCTCTTCACCTGGGGCCTCGTCGAGCCTCTGTGAAGCTCTGACATGTGGCATGGAACAACAAGCTGCAGGGCAGAGACAGGAGAGAGGGAGGCGCAGGGACGACTTCAGAAACTGAATTTGAATTGATCCAATTGAATCTGTGTTTGCAAAATGTAAAATTAAATGCACTGGTTTGAAAATTAATTTGACTCAATTAAAACTGAATTAATTTGGTTTGAAAATGTAGTTTGTTCCATTAAAAGCTCAGTTTGATGTCCTGATGCATCTCAGTAATCCAGGTAAAAAATCAAAAAGAAAAAATTGTATAGGTCTTCTGGACGGGTTCTTTATTAGAGAAGAATTAGAGAAGAACCCGTCCAGAAGACCTATACAATTTTTTCTTTCTCAGTTTGACTGCTTTCACTTTCAGTTCTATAATTTATTTTCAGTTCCAAATCTCATTTTTTTGTGTCACACAGATTAATGTCTTTATTTTAGGGCTGTCAAATGATTACATTTTTTAATCTTTTAATTCCAAGGTAGCTGTGAATTAATCACGATTAATCTTAAACTTAATATAAAACTTTATTGGATATTGGTAAAATAAATTACTTACTACTACTGTAGTACTACATGAGGAATGAAAGATAGCTACTATTTCACAGTTGTCAGCAAAACATAAATAAATTAAATAAAATAAGCCATAAGAAGACAAAAAGAAAAAAACCTGCACATAATGTGTTACATGTGGAGTTTTTTTTAAAATATTATTTATTTAACCTTTATTTATCAGGTAAACTGTTTGAGAACCACTTCTCATTTACAAACATGACCTGGCATG